TGGTCAACACCTGTATGAGATGGCTATGGTCTCCCATCCGCCGACTTTAATTTCTTGGGCATGTGTCGTGCATATCACAGCGTGTGATGTTTACTGAGTGGGACAGCAGTCAAACGCGGAACAATTCTTCAAACTTTAAAAACCCTCGAACGTGGACTCAGTTTTCTAGGTCCTGAAATGCATTCAAAGTTTGAGTCCTTTCGATCGATTTAATTGTTGATCAAATACACTACGTGACATGACTTTGTCGGAATCAGTGGCGTCCTACTATATGCTACCTGGCGAGTAACCTCTGTCTTATATCGTGCATTTCTTTAGTTACAACTCATACCCTGTTACATAGTGCTACCCTTTATTTATTGGCTAATCAGATGCGTGCAAGGCAGTGTGCACACAGTAAATAGTTATATAAACTAAAATGAGATTCTCTGATCGCTTCGGGTTTTATTAGACAGGCCGGCTTAATTGGCAGAAATAATACTATATTGACCTTACTTTGGATCAACGAAAAAAAACTTTAAAATCGTTCTAAAGGTCATCGTCCGATGCATTTGATTTTTGTGATAGTACTAATACTTAACGATAGTGATCACGTTTATGTTAAGACGCAATGCGATAAAAACATGACTGTGCTCGGTACCAAAATCGAAATATACCGCTTTAGAGGGGCTTCTACCTGTGGAAGCCTGTTACTAGCCTTTTGATTACCCAGTCAGTGTATCGCTGTATTGATTAAAATATTTTTGTCTTGCTAAGATTCAGTCGGGACAGCTTTTGATCGGGCATCACTTTCACAACAGATGGTTTCGGTCTATGATCACTGCAATCAATCCACAGCGTCTTCGAATGTCAAGATAACGAAAAATTGGTATTTATGTTTATTGAATAATTACCAAACACAAAAAGTATCTTCCAATTATCCTGTATTCTCCTCGTCCGGCAGGACGCTTTTGTTTATTTTTGTTTTGTTATTCTGTCTTCTTTTCCGGTATCCAATGGATACCAAATGCATTTTCCTGCCATTGACTTCTAACAATGTTGTGAATAATAATAATAATATAGGTAGGTGAAAAGACGCTGGTCTTTAAATTCACAAATGCCAAAGAAGTACAATTAATCTTGCATTTCCCTTTATCTGCTGAACACAGTTGTGTAGGCAGCTGTACAGGCAGTATTCATGATTGATCTCAGTAATGGAGAGTGGCACGTAAACTGATTTGTCCTACTGTCTCCTCATCACTCACTCTTTTTTCTGCTTTTTAGGTCACTTAACTGAGGAGTTGCCCATTTCAGAATCCACTGTTACTCAAGGAGATCAATTGAACCGACTGAAATTGCTTCGAAGGCAGGTACATCATCGGGGAGCTGCTCAAGGGGAACGTATCAGTCGTCAGTCCCACGGTGCATCAACCCGAACCATTAGCGGTTCACCTTGTTCACGCAGACAGACTGCAGAAAATACACAGAATAAACGAGCAGAATCTCCGCTCACATACGAGAATCCACCGGAGACCGATTCAGAGACCGGGTTGTGCACACGCAGTCAAGCTTTGCGTCAGTCCTCGCCGTCTACGCTGATTGCTGTTGGTCGACCTCTTCGAACAAGTCAACGGGTGCGCACTTCAACCGGCCTGTCTTCGAAACCTTTGCTTCCACCTCGACCCAAAGATGCAAATGGTCATAATCAGTTGGATCAAACCAATACCATCACAGTTCGCATAGGGTAGGTTGATAGCGGTGTGTCATTTGTAAATTTAATTCAATAATGTCATCAGGAATCAGATGATGGTAGGCATGGTTGTATTGCCGTGTGCTACCGAGCGCGTCCTCAGGTCGCGGATAGGTAAACGACCGTCATCTTACAGCTAACCGTGAATAAGGTGGGCTTAGGTCCCCGAATAAGTGGTCGCGGACAATCAGCGGTAGCACTCGAGGATGTTGTGGGTTTATCTCCAGCCAAGGGTTCTCCGTTCAAAACACCACANNCCCGCCACTAAATATGGTCATTGCTCCTTGCCGGGATCCATTGTTCGATAAGGTTTTCTAGAAGAGGTGAATAAACCGAAAACTGCCCACCGGCTCATTTTGAACATCACTGCTGCCTTGCATTTCGCGTTTGGTTGTGCAAAGGCTAGAGTGCACTCTCGAACAAAGCCTATTCTGGGTCGGGTGACCGGGTCGTACAGTAGCCCACAACGCACACAACTACGAACGTTCTCGCTCTTATGAATCTGCACTCCAAATGTTCGTTAACCGAAAGACATTCGAAACCGTACACGTTCATTCTTTCTCAGCCTACCCCCTTTCCATCATTACCCCTCCCCCCAACATAACTCCATCTCTCTCGGGTGGTTCAAACGATCATACCAACAGTAGTGCCTTGGGNCTAGCCACATTTAATGTGCGCTCTCTGATGCGTATAGGACAACATGCGTGTTTAGCTCGTACTCTCGGAACCCTAGCCATCGATGTATGTTGCATCCAAGAAACTCGCATTCAAGACTATAGCTCCATTATCCGATTGACGTCCCCAGCAAACCAATTTGTGAAGTTTCACTTACGCCTCGCTGGGGACCCC